GGAAGGGAAAGGAGGGGAGGGGAAAATTTTGTCCCCCCCCCCCCCCCTCACCCAAAATTCTGGCTCCATCCCTGTTGAGAAGCTCAATATTCTTGGAATTGGATGCACTTGTTCTACTTGGATATTGGAATGCAAGAAACTTCCAATCGGTCAATACCCCTTGGCATTGCATGGCTCCAGCAGAAGGCAATTATTTCTGATTTTGACTAGAAATCTGGTCTTTTGATCATGAACAAGTTCCCCAACAATTGTCTCAAAGCGTCCCCATCATAGAACTCTCTTATAATCAAAATCCTTAATATTCAACATGCGGCCGTCCAAAGCAATATCACAAAAATATCCAGCAAGAGCTTACTCATCCTAAGTGCATAGGAATCCCTAGAAAACAACATAAAACCTAGTAAACCCTCATCATTACCTTGATTATTCCGTTCTATGATTAATTCAAATAATTGAACACAACATTTCAAGTTTATCAATAGTAATCAAAGTTTAGTTTTTGCAATAAAACAGGGAAAATCAAATAATTAGTATAGTAACAGACTAAAAAAACTATCTTTTACAATTAAAAAACAAAAGTAGGAGAGAAGAATCGTATTCATTTCAATTGCGTAAGGAATGAGAAAATTTTACTTAATTATATATTGACGAAAGCTAGAAGCTACTCTGCATCTGATACTCCTATAAATAGATTGCTTCAAATGATTTAAGACCCTACTCCTACTAGGTCCTTACACAAACAAGTTGTATGATAAAAATTTTGAAGCTAGTTCATAAAACCAAACTCAAAGACCATGCTACAAGTTCTAAGAACATACTCGATTGATGAGGATTTCTTAGGCGCCTGCAAACTAGTGACCTATGCATATGCATGTATACAAAGATGCAAACTCATGCGTGGACAAACACTTCCAGTAGATTCAATGTGTACTTATATAAATAGTTCAAGAAAACCACCCATTTTCAATTCCTCCGACCCATGGGAATCATTTATTATAAATTGCGAATAATGAGAAATCGCTTACCTTCTTTGGTTTCACGAAAATGGAGGGGCAACAATATCCTTCCATTTCCCTCCCTCTTGCTTGCTTCCCCCTTTTTCATTTAGTTACACTAAAATTATAAAGGAAATTAAAAGTAAATCCTCCCTCCCATTCCCTCCCCTCCAATTTTTGTTATTCAAATAGGGAATTTTATCTATCTCCCGTCAAACCAACCGAGCTAGTAAAAGAATTCTTATATAGAAAAGAGTTGGAGTAATAAGAAATTACCTGCTAAAGAATTTTCACAAGCATTGTAGGTTAAGAGAATTGAAGCAGCCATAAGCAACCTTTGAATTGATAAATTTGACTTTTATTGTTGCTTTTAAGTCTGAATTGATGAAAGAAGCAAAATTAGTGGTGAAATTTATTATAAGGAAGAAGAGAAGTTGAGGATTGAGAAATTTAAATATACCTCAGAAAAAGAACTCAATCTCCTTGTTATTGGATGCGCCCATGATCTATTCGGATGTTTGAAATGTGAGAAATTTTGAACCATTCAAGGCCGGTTTCCTTTGCACATCTTCCTTTTAACTCTAGACATTTAATAATTCCAAGATACTACAACTTGGAGAGGCGTTGCATGGCTTGTGCAGAAGGCAGATATTTCAAATTTGCGCAGCCCCAAATCACCAGAGTTTGAAGAGATGACAAGCTTCCCAACCACTATGGCAAAGCTTTCTCTTGATTGAAATCATGTATTCTCAATTCCCTTAGAGAAGTGAGGTGTTGAATTTGAGGTCGTAGATACGTTAGTTTTCCCCACCCATACAACCCTAATTCTTGAAGAGAGGTGCGGAAGTGGTGGATGGAATTGAGATATGGGAATTCCTCCAACTCTTTTGAGAAACCACCAATAGCCAATCTCTCCAAGCAGACAAGAAAG